CTGGGCCTATTCATGTAGATAAGCTGAAAAGTCTCTGCAGGTTTCCATGACTTTTAAATAAACCCTCCCTCTGTGATAATGAAGCACTGAAAATACTATTTTGATACAATAATCAATTAAGAGAAAATTTGCTCCTTAAACCCTTTAAATCCAATATCTTTGGAAAGGGCTTATGCCTAGGAAAGAATTGACCCCTGTTTCTGTACCTCTAATGTTAGTAACTATGTTAAAATGTATAAACAGATTGCAAAAGGTTAAGAAGTGTGTAATCTAGGTGGTGGGTAAATTCCTTTTGGTTTTTTAATCCTCACCAGAGGAAATGCTTAGATAGAGGAAGGAGAGAGAGAGAGGAAAAAAAAAAAATCAATCGGCTTCAGTACGTGCTCCGACCAGGGATCGAACCCGAAACCTAGGTATGTGCCCTGACCACCAGAATCGAACCAGCAACCTTTCAATGCACAGGACGACACTCCAACCAACTGAGCCACTCCAAGTGGGCTCATTACAGTTCTTTAAGCTCTTCTGTATATTTGAAAACTGTCCAAATAAAATGTTGGGGGGAAAGTTGCCTATTGTCGAAAGAGCTACACGCAGCTTCCTAAACCATGATCGGGCAGCAAGAGGCATCAATCACACGCTGATAGCAACCATCTAGAGCTAAGTGAGCAGTAACATAAACCATGTGCCATGCACTCTTTCAAAAACTTCATACAAATGAGGAAATAAAGGCATAGGGATGTGAAATAATTTTCTCAAGGCCAAAGTGCTAAGTGGCAGAGTTGAAAAGAAAAAGGAACTTTAAAGGCTTCAAATTTTTGCTCTTAATCAGCATTCCATACTGCTTCTCATTCTTTTCTTTTTTTAAAATATATATTTTTATTGATTTAAGAGAGGGAGGGAGAGAGAGATAGAAACATCAATGATGAGAGAGACTCATTGGCAAATCACAGAAGTTAGGCCAGATGCCAACAAAGTTTAGAAAATATGCTTAACTATTTTTGTCCCATTGCCCCACAGGGTTCATAATATTCCATTGTTAGTGATCCTTGCCTAGGACAGTGCCTGAGACATTCAAGTAGGTATTTAATTAATATTCAGTGAGAAAATGAAATAATGGACGGATGAGTTCACAATCCTTGTCAGATGAGTTTAGTCAACCTCCCAGCCTAATAAAGCAGAATTACTGACTATTTTGTCTGCTTCCTTGGAGCCATTCAAGGAAAGGCCAAGAATCAACCAGAGGAGCAGGTTCTGCTACTGACTTGGCAAAGAGCCATGCCCTTTTCAGCTATGCATGGCTGGAGGTGCTGGAGGTGGGAATGGGGGTCCTGTTCAGGCCACTGCTGGGCCTATTCATGTAGATAAGCTGAAAAGTCTCTGCAGGTTTCCATGACTTTTAAATAAACCCTCCCTCTGTGATAATGAAGCACTGAAAATACTATTTTGATACAATAATCAATTAAGAGAAAATTTGCTCCTTAAACCCTTTAAATCCAATATCTTTGGAAAGGGCTTATGCCTAGGAAAGAATTGACCCCTGTTTCTGTACCTCTAATGTTAGTAAATATGTTAAAATGTATAAACAGATTGCAAAAGGTTAAGAAGTGTGTAATCTAGGTGGTGGGTAAATTCCTTTTGGTTTTTTAATCCTCACCAGAGGAAATGCTTAGATAGAGGAAGGAGAGAGAGAGAGGAAAAAAAAAAAATCAATCGGCTTCAGTACGTGCTCCGACCAGGGATCGAACCCGAAACCTAGGTATGTGCCCTGACCACCAGAATCAAACCAGCAACCTTTCAATGCACAGGACGACACTCCAACCAACTGAGCCACTCCAAGTGGGCTCATTACAGTTCTTTAAGCTCTTCTGTATATTTGAAAACTGTCCAAATAAAATGTTGGGGGGAAAGTTGCCTGTTGTCGAAAGAGCTACACGCAGCTTCCTAAACCATGATCGGGCAGCAAGAGGCATCAATCACACGCTGATAGCAACCATCTAGAGCTAAGTGAGCAGTAACATAAACCATGTGCCATGCACTCTTTCAAAAACTTCATACAAATGAGGAAATAAAGGCATAGGGATGTGAAATAATTTTCTCAAGGCCAAAGTGCTAAGTGGCAGAGTTGAAAAGAAAAAGGAACTTTAAAGGCTTCAAATTTTTGCTCTTAATCAGCATTCCATACTGCTTCTCATTCTTTTCTTTTTTTTAAAATATATATTTTTATTGATTTAAGAGAGGGAGGGAGAGAGAGATAGAAACATCAATGATGAGAGAGAATCAGCAATTGGCTGCCTCCTGCACGCCCCACACTGGGGATTGAGCCTGCAAACCCAGGCAAGTGCCCTGACCAGGAATCAAACCATGACCTGGTTCATAGGTCGACGCTCAACCACTGAGCCACGCCGGCCCGGCTGCCTCTCACTCTTGAAGGAGAGGTATGCTCTTTTATAAGGATTGCACATTCCTAGTTGTCTCTTTCACCTATTTTAAATATTTAACTATTTATGCCAGTTTTCTGGGCAAAACGCTTATTTTAATTTTATATTGTCTAATACATGTCTTTTCTAGATTATAACTCAAATACAATTCTTAAGATGTATATTTTGTTGGAACATAATGTATAAAACATGTTATTCTTAGGAAAAGGACAACGTGAATCTCTATTTTCCAGCCCAATCTTATCACTCGATGTCTTTTGGGGGTAACTGAGAGTTCAGAATGACAAGTAAATGGCTAATACCTCCTTCCCCTAAATTCGGAAGAGTCTAATAAGCCAAATAACCATGACACTCTTTCCATTTCCCCTCTAGCAGGACCACCTTGTGCTCATGGATAGTGAAGGATGCTTAATCCCAGCTGTACCATCCTAACTAACACACATTGTGCCTGGGGAAATATTGAACTATAAAACCAAGAAAGAACTGCTTAGAATCAAGGTCACAGAGACAAATAGGGCTTAAAAGATATCATCCAGTACTTCCCTTGGTCAGTAGTAGTAAGTCAGGGTCTAAGGCCGAACACACTTAGTAATCTGAGAATTTCTCCATTTTTAACAGCTGCCCCTGTAGAATCCATCCCAAAATTTTACAAAGTCTGAAAATTCTCATGTCCCTAATAAAAAGCTCTCGGGACATGCCGGCTCCCCCTGGGGTCTGTGCACTGAGCTCAGAGCAACGGGTTGAAATTTTCTTATTAAAACTCTTCTTCGCTTGAAGTTGTTATTAAAAATGAACTATGAGCTCCTGGTGGCAGGGATCATGGCTTAAACGATCCCTGGCTTGTCATCTTTCTGTGTCCTCCGACAAAGTCTTCAAATACAACTAGCCTTCAATTTATTTAAGCATTCTTGAAGCTTTCCTATTTTCTAATAGTGTAATCAGCCTTGAAATATTCCTCAATCTTCTTTAACTATGGAAACTAGAACTAAATCTAATACTTTCCTAAGGTACCTTGTAAAGGAAAAGAAAACCCACCAATCACCTAGCTCTTCTTTTAAAAATTATCAAACCCTTTTCCTAATCTAGTTAGGATTTACTATAGTCAGTATGTTGCCACATAGGGTGAACTGAGATCAAAGAAATGTATCGTTCATTTGTTTTCTTCATTCAACTGCCAATTTTTTAGAAGTGTTTGCTTTAAAAGACCATTTAACCCAAGAGCACTGCTACCAAACCTGATTTGGCAATCTTTTGGCACGATTAGCCCAATTTCAGTAGGAGCTTTGTTTAATGAGCAAATAAGCTGAAAAGTCCAAAAGGTGCTCTGCAGGTCAGAAGGAATATGTTTTTCCTGAGACTCTCTGACAATTGTTATTTCTGGAGCCTGGCTTGCCCGTTGGCCAAACCTTAACACTGCTCAGTTCCACTTCTGACCACTAAGTGGCACCAGAACTTTGAATTACTTAAGATGGAGAAAAACTGCTTAACTAGTGTTTAGGTGATTTGCTGTGAACCCTTCATTAACACCTTCTAAAAAGATTTCATTTGTTTTTATCAAATCTAGAATTTGGTGACTTTTTGCCATTTATTCTTCCTTATGGTCTGTGCTATGGGAAGAGCAGGTTAAAAGACATACGTAACTCATTCCTCAGCGTCCGGCCAACGTCTTCGCAGGAGCTTTTCTTTGTGCCTCAGCAGCCTCATCAGGGGAACAATCGGGCTTTGCACTGTCAGACTTTTCTGCAAGCTCGAATGGCTCTGTGATGTGATCCTGTAAAAAGGCAACCCAAAATGGAAGGACAAGTTAAAGGTGTTTTGATGGACCCAGACACTAATATTTCCGTTTGATTTACCTAGAAGGGAGATAATCTTTTACAATTGCTTGGGGTCCTGGAAATAGTATCAGTCATTCAGCTATAAAGGTGGCCGTCCTCTTCTGAAGATTTTGAATCAAGTTCTTACCACTTCCAAGGTGAACTTCATCCAAAGCTCCTTAAAGGCAGTCCCTGTTGGGCCAGGAGAGTTTATTTTGCTTTGTTTTGTGGGGTTCCCATTTGTATGTGCCTTTTAGCCTTTAGGACCTGAGATACTGCAATGCTGAAGTTTCTTCTCTAATCTCCAGAACCAGAACCATGTGCAAGATAGAAGGCAAGTCCTACATACCGGGGCCATTAGCAATTGATGGTTTGCAGGTGCTGAGACTGCCAAGGGCCAGCAAGATCTCAGGGCAGAGTCAGTGGAGTTTTCAAAAGACAAAATGGCAATCTTTATTTTTCCTCCTTTCACCTCCAACACCAGTGCCAGTGGGGCCAGTGAAAAACCTGGCACAGAGGTCGAAAATCAAGAGCATGTACAAGCCACCTTAAGTAATGAAAATGAATTCATTAGCCCTGGCCGGTTTGGCCCAGTAGATAGAGCGTCAGCCTGTGGACTGAAGGGTCCCTGGTTCAAATCCAGTCAAGGGCACATGCCCAGGTTGCGGGCTCCATCCCCAGTGAGGGAAATGCAGGAGGCAGCCAATCGATGATTCTCTCTCATCATTGATGTTTCTATCTCTCTCTCCCTCTCCCTTCCTCTCTGAAATCAGTAAAAATATATATATTAAAAAAAGAAAGAAAATGAATGCATTAAACATGTATTTACACTCTTACTATTTATTGTTGGTCACTGCAAACAGAAGGGTAGACACGACAGGCACAGACCTTACATTCATGAAGGGCAGTCTTTTGACCCACTCCCTTTACTGCAGTAACTTACTGGTGGCCTTGCCTCGATGGCCCAGTTTCCACCTCTCTAAAATGAAGAGGTCTACCTGGATCTGGGCTCCCTTATCGCCAGACTAGCACCCAGCAGGGGTCTCCAAGCCAGGAAGAGGGCTGGCTATGCTGGTTGCTGCTGCCAGGCCTCACACCATTGTCTTTCCTCCTCTCAGGGCAGTGGACTTCCTGGTAGGAAGAGTTAGCCGCTCCTCTTTCTCACCCAGGAAAATGGTTTCTCATCCTCTTCTTCACATTCCATGTCCTTCCTACCAACAGGAGATAGTGATATTCCTATCACTTCCAAATACATGCTCCCAGCCCTAACTAAGGTCTCAAAACTCGAAGGGAATAAAAGGTGGGGCATCTTAGTAAGTGGTTCTTTTGAGCACCAATATCCTGTGACTCTATGAAAATATAAGTATGGAGAGTTAATACAGCAGATTATGGCGAAGAATGTCAGCTCTAGAGTCAGACATGGGTTCAAATTCACCACTTTCTAGCTGTGTGGCCCTGGATTGCAAATTCATCTCTCTGAGCCTGAGTTTCTTCACGTGTAAAATGAGGATAATAACGGTTATTGTGAGGACTAAGTGACATGGTGCCTTGAACATATTAACTATTCAATGAAGATGAGGTCCTCTGGCCCGACCTGTGTGACTCAGTGGATTGAGCGTTGTCCCATGCACCAAGAGGTCACAGGCTGGATTCCTGGGCAGGGCACATGCCCAGGTTGCCGGCTCAATCCCCAGTAGGGGGCATGCAGGAGGAAGCTGATCTATGTTTCTCATCTATGTTTCTCTCGCTCTCTCTCTCTCTCTCTCTCTCTCCTTTCTTCTCTCTCTCTCTCTAAAGTCAATAAAAACATTTTCTTAAAGACTAGGTCCTCTGTATTATTACTACTGTTGTTTATGTTCATATATAACTGCCACTACTATTAATTGAAACAAGACCATACATAACATTAGTCCTATTGGTGTCATTTCAGATTCTGCAGTGTTTTAATAATGTAGTTCTTTTAATAGCAAAATACACTTTGTCAGGATTAAGGAGGAGAGAGAAGAAAGGAGAAAAAAGGGGGGTAAAAAAGGACTCTTAAAAAGAGGCAGCAGCTTGCATTCCTCTCTGCTGCAGCAACTAATGGGAAGCTGTAAGCATGAGCCAAGTCCCTTGCGCCACCTGCCCGCACTGTGCTGGAGGGTTTATCATAAAGGTTTGCCATAAAAAAGATATGAGTGTCTTCCCCCAAGAGCACAAGGTTATTTTTCTAGGATACACCAGCTGCTTCACTCTTTAAATCTTCCTTCAGTGTCAATTATTCCCATTTCAAAAACTTGAAACTGCTCTAAAGACATTGGCACATGTGCAGGCTGAAAGAAAGGAGGCAGAATAGGAAGGAGATTGCTGGGATAAAAACCAGTCCAAATAGGAAGAATGTTACAAGCCGTATCTGAGGTCAAGGGCCCTCCTTTACGTAGCCCGCATGCACACCAGGAGGGAGAGCAAAAACAGCTATGCTGGAAGGAAATGTTTTTCTGTAGAAGCCAGAGTTCCCAGGAATGTTGTGGCTGGAGGAAAGACTCCCTTTGCTTGTAACTGTAATCTCCTGACAGCTTGTGTATGCCGGTATTCAGGAAACCAGGCTACGGGAGAGTTAGAATGTTGAAAACATTTCAAAATAAACACTGATTCCAATCAGCAAGGTTTTATAATCAATGAACTCCCAAGAATTTCAAAATAGCAAAGACACATTTGTGAAATACCCGATGGACTAAGTCAGAAGTCAAATTTCTCTACCTTCGAAAATATCATTGTCTTAGAAGAAGGGAAGAGTAACAATAGCAGAGAGCTCAAGAGTTTAATAAAGCAAAGCAAGTAAATCACTCCTCGGCTCTACAGGTGTCTCCTATGCTTACGTGGGCTGGATTCACGCTGGTAATCGTGGCCAAACAAGAACTTTTGGGGTTTTTGGCTCTGGGATTCTTGTCTCTTATGTTTGATTAAACTTTCCCAACTACAAATTTACCATTTCTTAGAGCGATCTCTAAATAAGCTTTACTATTTTTTTAAATATATTTTTTTTAGCCGAAACGGGTTTGGCTCAGTGGATAGAGCGTCGGCCTGCAGACTGAAAGGTCCCAGGTTCGATTCCGGTCAAGGGCATGTACCTGGGTTGCGGGCACATCCCCAGTAGGAGATGTGCAGGAGGCAGCTGATCGATGTTTCTCTCTCATCGATATTTCTAACTCTCTATCTCTCTCCCTTCCTCTCTGTAAAAAATCAATAAAATATATATTTTAAAAATAAATAAATAAATATATTTTTATATTGATTTTAGCTAGGAAGGGAGAGGGAGAGACAGAAACAGCAATGATGAGAGAAAATCATTGATCAGCTGCCTCCTGCACGCTCCACACTGGGGATCAAGCCCGCAACCCCAGTTTAATAAATAAAACTTTAAAAAATGTTTAGGTTTAGGAAATATGCTAAATAAAATTAGAATACTAAGTTCTATACATAGCATGCTCCCAATCTTATTATATACACAGAGAAAAAAACACGTAAAAGGATATATATTAAAATGGTAAAGAGGTTATTGCTGGCTATATGATTAGTAGTAACATGGTCTTTTACTTTTTGTATTTTCCCAACATTTTAACAATATTCACTTATTATTTTATAATAAGAAAAATGTTAACATTATTAAAGTAAGAACTTTTGATTTCATAGTCAGACGGACCACACACATATGACAGTAAAGGAATAAACCACAATGATGAGAACATAAGGGGATTAAGGGACATCAATGCTGGGACAGTTGCCCCATTTCCACACTACAGTTTTCAAAGTGTTTTCCACATTATTTATCCCGTTTAATTTTCATAAAAGCCCAATCAGCAGATTGTAAATTATCTACATTTTACAGTTTAGAAGATGACTCAAGGAAATTAATTTTCCAAGGTCATGCCACTTTTGAGAGGCAGAAGAGAAATGGAACCTAAACCTCCTGACCTAATCCACATGTTCCCACATCACAAAGCCTCACCCTGGCGGTGAGCAGAATGGAGCTCTGTATATGAACACGTATCTGCCTTAAAACAAAACATAACAAAACAAAAAGACACCTACCCCAGAAAACTGTGTGTCCTGCTTTCTCCTGGCAATTCAAGGCTATCAGAGACGTCACTGAAATATAGCTTCCCATCATGCTGAAACAGCAGAATTCGTCCAAACAAGGTTAAGATTACATTAATCCCAGATAGCAAAGAAAGGAATGAAGGGATAAAATCCATTTTAAAAACAAATGCAGGGGGCGAGGGGGTGGGGGGGATGGAAGTGCTTGAACCGACCCTGTGTGAACGAAAGGATCAAAGTTTTGCCATCCTGAAGCTGTCTTTTTGGGATATTGATTTTAAGCTGTTTATTAAGAAACAAGACTCAGAAGGACACTTTGACCTCCCCCCTTTCCTGCCCAAGAGATTCAGACAGAGAAACCTACCAGGAGCAGACAGGACAGGAAAATTCTTGCTAGACAACTCAGAAACAATGGAATACAGTGGGCATCTAGCTAACAGGCACCTGCACCTGCCTGAAGCCTTGTTTACGACACTTAATTCAAATTAGGCTAAAGTGGCATTCTAAGTTTCCCTTCCTGAAACAGGTTTCTCTGTCTGAATCTTTTCTTCGGCAGGAAAGCAGGGAGGTCAAAGGTTCTTTCTGAGTCTTGTTTCTTATTAAACACCTTAAAAATCAATATCCCAAAAGCAGCTTCTGAATGGCTAAACTGGTTCCCTTCACATGCCTATGTGAATCCTCCATTCGCAGGTATTAAAAACCTGATGTTCTCCTGTTAATCTGTCTCTGTTAATTTGATGATTAGCCCAGCCTGGAAGAACTTAGAACAGTGGTTCTCAACCTGTGGGTCGCGACTCCTTTGGCGGTCGAACGACCCTTTCACAAGGGTCGCCTAAGACCATCCTGCATATCAGATATTTACATTATGATTCATAACAGTAGCGACATTACAGTTATGAAGTAGCAACGAAACTAATTTTATGGTTGGGTCACAACATGAGGAACTGTATTTAAAGGGCCAGAAGGTTGAGAACCACTGACTTAGAAGGTGGGAGGAAAAGTATAAATATTTTTTTAGCGAAGTGCCAAGATTTCTTTTTCAGTCCCCTACCTGACAGGGAGGGCAAGAGTGTCCCTCTCCTGAATAAGGATACTCAGGTCACCTAGATTTTGAGCCAAATTGAAACAAATGCAGCTCAAGGTTGTATAACTATCAGAAGTCAATAGTATTCATAAACTCTTTTCCTTTAAAAAGTATACAACCTTTTGTAATGCTAGCATGTACTTTTATAACAACATGTTTTTCTCAATATTGTGCTTAAATCTCAGGCACATGAGTTAGCAGTCATTTTGAGATTTTATTTAGCTAATTTCAACAGTATGGAGGTCTGGATCCTACAATAATCTTTCCTCCTCTCTTCCCCAAGCTCAACTATATTCCCAAGATAAGAGAGGTGAACAGAGTGTTTAAAATATCAGTAAACTTTCAGCAAACAGTGAGTGCAGGGAAAAAATTTCAGGCATGTTTCTTATTTGTTTCTGCCCTGATGTTTACCAGGCAAAAAATAACCTGGGGCCAGATGTCTCCATTTCTTATCCCACCTGTAAACAGAGGAAGTTCCTTCAGGCAGTTTACTAAGATTGTCACTTGGGCATGACTTGACAGAAAAAAGAGAAGCACAGAATTCTGTAATTTGCTATGAAAATAATATTAAAGATAACAGGTCAGTGTGCATTGTCTGGGCAGACTCAGTGGTCTTGCTGGTCTCTTGGGCTCATTGGTTGATGGTTAAGTGAAAGTAAGTTCTCTCTTGGGCTAGTGTGTTCTGGGCCAGACCAGCTCCTCCTCTACATTAAGTCAGGCCAAGTTTATCACCCTGAGAGTCAGTTCAGCAAAAACTGTCACAAATGGTGACATTTGTGTGTTCGATAGAAAATGGGCTACATTCATAACAGGAAGGAGAGACCTACATCATAACATCATAACTCTCATTTCTGGTCCCAGCCTCTCCCCACTTCCCTATGCAGCCATGAACAAAAGTCACCTTGGGTGCCTGGAAGCCATATTTTTCCAAGTGATATTCAATATACTTTTTCACCACTTCTACCTAAGAAAAGAAAATATAGGTTTGATAATTAGCATTTTTTTAAAAATACATTGCCCCCCCCCTCCTCAAAATTTCCTTTTACTAATGGAATATACTTCCCCCTGACTATTCTGGATAAGGATACAAGGCTTCTCTGGGCACGTAGGATATGCTCCAGCCTGGGACAACTCAATGGGGCATTTCCTGCTCAATACCTGGTTTTTGCTTGAATAAGCTCTTCATTCATTAACAAAATCTTGCAGGACAGATGGCAGAAGAAAAGACCAGACTCCACTGGGTCATCATGATATTCATATTCTAGATCAAACCTCTGACTCTCACCCGGCCAGTGTGGCTCAGCGGTAAAGCGTCGACCCATGAACTAGGTGATCATGGTTCAATTCCTGGTCAAAGCACATGCCTGGGTTGCAGCTCAATCCCCAGTGTGGGGTGTGCAGGGGGCAGCTGATCAATGATTCTCTCTCATCATTGATGTTTCTCTCTCTCCCTTCTTCTCTAAAATCAATTAAAAAAATATTTTAAAAAAAACTCTGTTCTTCCAGAAGAGCCCCTAATAGTCAAAGTCCTCAGCTCCCAGAACAGAAAGCATGAGTGGCACAAATAAGCATTGCCATTTAGCTGCCTTATTAAAACCTTGAAGAGACACATAGAAAAAAACTTTATCTCAAAAGAATGCGTTTGATGATAATTTTTTCCTCCAAATCATTGTCTTGCCTGATCTTCTCTCATGTCAATTCCAGTAACATGTCCTTTCTCATAAATCATTTAAGCACATAGCAAATCTCTGCCACTTTCACTAGCCGGGTCCAAAATCCATCAGTTTTGATGGATGACCAGAACACAGCCATAATACCTGGGAAATAGAAAGTACATACACACATATTTTTTCCCCTCTAGAGACTAGAAGATGTGGAGCCACTAAATCTTATAAATCCTCCCTCCCTCCCTCTTTTCTTCCTTCCATCATTCATTCAATTTCAATTTAGGTATTTAATCTCCCCCACTAAACTGGAAGCACCATGAAGGCTGAGACTCTTTTTTACTATTGTATTGTTGGGCACTGTGCCAGGTACTAAGACAAATAAACCATCTAAAACATTTGTTGAATGAATACATTTAGGCATTAGCTGAGCATCTAATGCAGATCCAGAACTGTGCTAGTTATTGAAGAAAAAATGTAGGCTGAGATCTGTCCCCTAGATGTATTTAACTGGGGTGGTAAACCATGAGCAAATAAAATGTTTTCCATGATTTACAGACAAACTGAGTGGCACAGGCAGTCAGTCCTACAGTGATTTGGGGAAGGTGGTGCTCAAGGATTGGAGAAAGCTTCACAGAGTAGGTAGGACATCAGTGAAGTACTGCATGGGCAGGATTTGGAAGGTAGAAAGGGGAGGGGAGGCATTCCAGATTGATAACTCATGCTGGCAGGCAGAAGTCATCCTGGCAGTTCTGATAGCAGGAGGAAGGGAAAGGTCTGGCTAGAGTAGTATAGTGTATCAGAGGGAACCAAGCTTGGTTAGGAAGGGAGAGCCAAAATACTGGAGAGTCTTGAATGTCAGCTCCAAGAAGTGTGACTGTATCCTGTGAGTAAAAGGGGGAGTGGGGGAGTCATTGGAAATTCTCAAACAGAGCAATAAGATGATCAGTGCTGTAATGATCAGTTCTATGATAGACACGGCAGGCAGGATGGATTGGAGGAGATGGATTACTTCTCTAGAGATCAGCATAATTATTTTTTGAGAAAGCTGTTGTCTGGCGTCTCCATGGGGGCAGCACAGGGCACTCTACCTCAGGGCTACTTCCTCAAGGACATTCTGCAGGGCTGTCCAGATGTGCTTGGGGACCACCTGGCTGCAGTGACACAGGCCTTGGGCTGGAGGTCTGCGGATTTCTTTAGCACCTGCCTGTAGTAGATCTGACCCAAGGGCTACGGGTGGGGTGAGTTGGGGAGAGAGAAGAAATACTGAAACTGGTGTGTGCACACCACCACCCCACTCCACCCATCCAGGCCTAGCCAGCCTTTGCTCCCCGCAAAGCTCTAAGCCCAGACTCTGCCCTGCCCCAGTCCTGGGGTTAGAGTTAGGGTTAGGGTTAGGGTTAGGGCCAGGCCTAGGGCTCCCACTCAGCCCAGGCTCTACCTCTGATCATTCCCTACTGCTCTCAGCTGCAAGTCCTTCCAGAACCTGGCTGGAGTGGTGGTGGTTGGAGGTGGGGGGAGGGAGAAGATGGGGGCATTGCCTGGATGGGGAAATGGTGGCTGAAAGAAGAGGGTGTAGAAGGGGTGCACTGCGATAAAAAGATGGGTTAAAAGGCAGGTGGTAAGCCCAAGAGTTAGTGGGGGTGGTGGAGGAAGGGTCAGGGGAAGGGACTGGGGGCCCGGGCCAGGAGGCAAGGGGCGGCACACTCACTGTCTCCTTGGTCTCCCGATGTAGAAGGGGTGCACTGCGATAAAAAGGTGGGTTAAAAGGCAGGTGGTAAGCCCGAGAGTTAGTGGGGGACGGGGGGTGGAGGAAGGGTCAGGGGAAGGGACTGGGGGCCTGGCCTGGGCCAGAAGGCAAGGGGCGGCACACTCACTGTCTCCTTGGTCTCCGGACTCCAGGACTCGAGTTCCCCGCAGCCAGCTCCAGAGACTGAGCCCACCCAAGGCCCCGTCGCAGGGGAGGCAGGCTTGAGCCCTGGACGGCTTGCAGCCTGACGCTCCAGCGCAGTCTCGCTCTGCGCTCTGGGCCTGCTGGCCCAGTGTCATCTTGGCTGTCTTTAGTCTTTCCAACCACAGAGGTTATTATTATTATTAATTTCTATATTCCTTTATTGCTCACTGTGATTCTCATTTATAAACCTCATATCTGACGTACTGAGCAACCACATATATAATGACCTTTGTCCATTTGGGGGATGAAGTCACCTGTTCTCAATCTAGTTTTTAAAGTCAGGTTTATTGAGATATAATTTACATTCAGTAAAATTCACCTTTCTTTAGTGTACTAGAGAATTCTTAGAACAGTTCTCTTGCCCAAAAATGTTTCTTCTTGCCCTTTTGTACTATAAGCCCCTCTGTCAAGGAAAAGATACCCAAACCTATAGAAAAGTTTTATAAGAGTTTATTTGAGCCAAGTTTTTGAGGACATGCCCAGAAGCAAGATCTCAATGGACTGGGAAAATGCTCTTGAGAATGACAGTTCAAAAACAAACGTTTTTATTGATTTTAGAAAAAGAGGAAGAGAGAGGGAAAGAGAAACACTGATGTGAAACACTGATGTGAAACATCAATTGGCTGCCTCCTGCATGCCCACTACTGGGGATCGAGCCTGCAACCCCGGGCATACATCCTAATCAGGAATCAAACCGGAGACCTTTTGGGGCATGGGACAAGTTCAACCAACTGAGCCACACTGACCAGGGGAGAATAGCAGTTTTGAGTTTCCTCTATGAATTTAGAATCAAAGATGAGAACATAAGGAAGGTACCTGAAATCCATTGGTGGTAGATTAAGGAGGCAGGAGAAAGCAAAGTGAGGAAATCACTAGAATAGATAAAAAGCAAAATGGAGAAACACACACTGCCTTGACATTGGTGGGCACAGGATACTTAATAATGAACATTTACAGTAGATATAGAGATGGAATGCAGGAAACGTGGTATCGATGAGGGGTTCTGTCGCCTCCTGCTCTGGTGCCTGCAGTTGTGTCTTTAAGAAAAGAAAATTACTCTGACATTTAAAGGTATGTTATCCTAGATACACAAGAACAGTGGACAGGACTCACCTAAGGCAAAGACTGATCTTTGCTAAGGACGCTGTAGGCCTGGGACATGACTACCTCCTATGGCATCCCAGTTGGGAATGTTTGATCAAACCACCCTGTGTGGTTTCTTTCAGTCTCTGCCATGTGCCTCCCCCTCCCATCACCCCAAAAACAGCTATAGATCTGTTCTCCCTCCTTTTCCAGAATATCATAGAGATGAAATCAATACAATATATAGCAGTTCTCAGTCAATTTTGAATTTTATTTAGGAAAGCAACTTCTGCTCAGTTCATTTTTAACCTCTAGTAATTTTTTTTATCAATTCACTGTGTCTATTGGATATTATTTCATCTTACAGAGAGTTGTATATCTTATTTCCTTTTGCGGGTTGTAACAAGCATATCTGTTCATTAGAGTAGTAAGGAGATACAGGGTTTCAAGTGAAGGAATATATAAATGCAAAATATACTAAATAATACTCATTAATCTCATCTGCTAATAATCTTCCCTGATGTCAGTTAGTTGTTATTAAGTATTAATAGAAAGGTGCTGTACCTTTCTTTTATTTTTTTGTATCTTTAACAAATTAAACCCATGGAAAAAATCCTGTTTAAAGTTAGAATATTTCCAACTATGAAGTATGTGGGGAAAAAATGAGTGTTTTTATAGGTATCAGGGTGGTTTTTTTGGCAATCACATTATGATGGTTAAAATGGTATCTTTATTATCTTGAATGGACAGATTAGTGGGAGGTTAAGGAAAGGGCTCTATCATTTCCACTTGTTCACTTTATTATATTATCTCCAACTTGTGGTTATTCACCAGAATCATTTGATAAACCTTAAATCCACTTAACCACACACAGATAAACTCAAATTGAGTTATTCCCAGTGTTCCCTCAAGTACCTAATGTACAGGGCTGATTTGGGGCCACATTGCTTATGACCATCATTCATTCTAATTGGTCAGTGCCTCAGCCACAGTGTTTTGTTGTTGTTTAACATATTTTTAATATGTAGGTCAGTCTGCTCCGTAGACCAAATTAGAGATCTCATATTAAGCCATATTTTTTTCTTATTATTTATTTATTTATTTATATTGATTTCAAAGAGGAAGGGACAGGGAGAGATAAAAACATCAATGATGAGAGGGAATCATTGATCGGCTGCCTCCTGCACACCCCACACTGGGGATTGAGCCTGCAACCTGGGCATGTGCCCTGACCAGGAATCAAACCAGCAACCCTTCAGTGCACAGGACAATGCCCAACCAACTGAGCCACACCAGCCAGGACTGATCTCTGAACTTTTTATTGGCCTCCCGCCCCCCCACAAGGTGTGCCCCACTTCTGCTGCCCGTAACTTTGGTGTCATTGACCTCAGACACCACTTTTCCGTCCACAATCCTGTGGGGATGGTCTTTTGGATGGATTGTATGGAGGGGCTGTTGTCCTGGGCATCACCAAGACGGAAGTCCTCCCCTTCTTGCAGCAGGTGGGGCAGGTGGTGATCTCAGACTCCAGTTTTACCCTGATGTTCAGCAGGGCCTCATACTCCTGAGCCTGGCACTGCTCCTCTGCCCAGATCTGGGCCAGCTCTGCCTCCAGGGGCAGCAGGATCTGGTTGAGCTGTTTTGTCTTCGTGACATAGTGCATCTCCACCTCCCTCAGGCTGTTCTCCCAGCTGGCCTTCAGATTCCTCATTCAGTCCAGGTCGAGCTCCAAGGACTGGACCTACGTCTCAGCTCTGCATCATCCCAGCAGCTCCTATCTCAGTAGTCTGCAAGGTGACCACTGTGGTGCTCTCCTCAGTCTGCTAGGATCAGTACTTGTCTAGCTCCTCTCGGTTCTTCCGAGCCAGCTCTTCATACTGGGCCTGGGTGTCCACTAGGATCTTCTGAGGTCCTGAGATTTGGGGCCATCCAACTCCATGGTCAACCCAGAGTTGGCAGTCTGATTCTGTAGACCATTTACTTCCTCCTTGTGGTTCTTCTTGAAGAGCAGCTCCTCCTTGAGAGCCCCCTCTGTCTCCAGTGACCTTTCAGAGACCACTGATGTCACTCTCCACAGACTGGCACATGGCCAGCTCTGTCTCATACTTGACTCTGAAGTCAGCAGCAGCAAGACAGGCACTGTCAATCTGTAGAATGGTGGAGGCATTTTCCACAGAACTTGTGAAGATCTGAGCCCTCAGGTCCTCGAGGATTTTGAAATAATGCCCCCAGCCCCTGACCTGGGGTGGCTTCTTCCCTAGGTGTTCCTGGATTTTGCTCTCCAGGAACACCCAGTGAAGGCTGATTATCAGCCTCCAGATTTCTCTCCCTCTCCAGGTAGGAGGCCAGGTTACTTAGGCATGGCATAGTCTCCTTCTCACTCTAGATAGCCCCCTATGCCCACCAGACCTCTGGCTATCACTGCAGCCAAGCCCCTGGACCCTCAGCTACCCCACATACTGGTAGAGTGGGACATAGAGGTCCGGGAGCCTGAGCCCCTACATAAATGCTGGCCATGCTGTTGGCTGGTCGAGCTGGTTGGTGGCTGGGGGATTACATGGAGCCCAGGGTCCCGTGGTTTGTGGGAAAGCTAGAGCTCATGTTGTTCAGGGAGGAAGGCGAGAAGCCAAGACTCAGGTTCAAGCAACCAATGTTTTACTCTTTTTTTTTCTCACCTGAGGATACTTTTCCATTGATTTTTTTTTTTTTTTTTTTTTTAGTGACAGTGGAGGGAAGGGAGGAAGGGGGGAGAGTGAGAAACATGGATATGAGAGAGTCACATCGATTAGTTGCCTCCCACACTTGACCCTAACAGGGTTGGAAAACCTGCAACCAAAGTACACGTCCTTAATTGGGAATTGAACCCACGACTCTTCCGTCCATAGGCTGATGCTCTAACCATTGACCTAAACCAGCCAGGACATGTTTTACTCTTAATATGGCATTTGCTGTAAGTTTGCAACCCTTCTTTTTAAGTTATATTGAGTTTGTTTACATTTAATAATTGCAATAAATGCATAAGTGGATTTCTTCACACCTCACTTGTGTTTTGGGGGGTTTTTGGTGTAAAATATCACCCGAGGATATTTTTCCATTGATTTTTTAGGAGAGTGGAAGAGAGAGGGAACGAGAGAGAGAAATATCTATGTGAGAGAAACATCAACTGGTTGCCTCCTGCATGAGCCAGACTAGGGCCCGGGCCAGGAAGGAATCTGCAACCAAGGTACGTGCCCTTGACCAGAATCAAACCCGGGACCCTTTGGTCTCCAGGCTGATGCTCTCTCCACTGAGCCAAACCAGCTAGGGCTGTTTTTTTTTGTTGTTGTTTTTTTTTTTAACCATAGTTAACATGAACATGTAAAATGAGGGATAAATGCAGTCTGATATGATTAGTCAATTTGATATTTGATGATACATAATATGAATTAAATTGAACTTTTTTTTTCTTCCAGTAAAAACTTCATTTTTAAGATATGTTTTAATTGATATTTTTTTAAGAGAGAGAGGAAGGAAGAGGGAGAGAGACATCAATGAAACATTGATCAGCTGCCTCCTGCACACCCCTTACTGGGGGTTGAGCCTGCAACTCGGGCATGTGCGCTGACCAGGAATTGAACTGGACATTTTGGTGCATTAGATGACACTCAACCATCTGAGCCACATTGGCCAGGGCAAAACTTCATTTTCTTATGTCAGCTTTCTCCCAATCCATTAATAAATTAAGAACTGAACTGGAACAAGAGAGAGGTCCCATTTTAAATTCAAACAAAGTAAAGACATTCAGACTTAACTATAGACAATGGTAATGCCATTTAACAAGATTAATTCAATGTATATGTAACTATCTACAAACATAAAGTTTTCCCCATGGCACAGCCCTACACTGCAATCATAATAATTCAACTGCTTTCGCATTTGGCAATATCATACAAATGAATTTGCTGATTACTAGCAATATTACAAAATGAACCCAGGGCCACATAATCAAGAGTCACAACAACAAAGAAACGAG